CAAGAGCAAACAAGCCTGCCTTGGAAGAAGTCAGCCAGAATGCTCTGTAGAAATGAGGAGCCTTCTTTGGACACTTATTAGGAGGGACCAGTCCCTGGAATAGCACACCGTGCTTGCTAATGTGGAGGCTTAGCATAAAAAAGAGACCCCCTCAACGAGATGGATTGACACAGTGGTTGCAACAATAAGCTTAAACGTGGCAACAATTGTGCAGTTGGCATAGGACTGGGCAGAGTTTCATTCTGTTATACGCAGTATCACTGTGAGTCAGAACAGAGTCACTGGAACCTAACAACAACCATTACATGTAAAGTCTTTATTCTTCTATCAGTATGCAAATGTACCTCATGTTTTGTTGGATTCAGTTTAGGTGTGAAGAAATGAGATGGTTATGAAGAAGTGAGGTGATCAGTTCTTCTAGGCGAGTCTTCAGGAGAGCACTTGGAATAATTTCAGGCCACGGTGTTGCTCTGTTGCTTCTTCCTTCCTCTAGGTCACCTGCTGAGAGGACATGCGTATGAGATATTTTTATTAACGACAGGTTTATAAAATTGAGATATGTCACTTGCCATCACAGTCACCCTTTTAAAGCGTACTGTTCAGTGTATTCATGAGGCTATGCAGCAACCACCATCATCTAATGCCAGAGCGTGTTCATCACCCCTGGCAGAAACCGCATACTCTTAGCAGTTGCTTCCTGCTTCTCCTCCCTGCAGAACATGGCAATCTACTTTCTGTCTCTGGGTTTGCCTATTCTGAAATTTTCCTGAAATTTGAATTATACAATATATGGTGTTTTGTGACTGACTTCTTTCACTAAGCATAATGTTTCAAGGTTCATCCATACGATAGCATGTATCAGAACTTCATTTCTCTTTGAACTGAATAATATTCCGTTGTGTGGATAGACCACACTTTTTTAAATCCATTCACCAAGTGATGGAGGTATATGGTTATAAGCTGCTTTGTTTTAGGGAAATTGTTGCAAGTAATGGTGTCCTCATCAGAACACATGTATATGTATTTTTTCTTTTGATCAAATTACATTATTGTCAACTTGGTACAGAAAAGTTTTACAGGAACTAGATCAACAAACTGAAATCTGAGTTTTGCTTAGACAAGTTAACTATCTTCTTTTGTTCAAACCTAATTCTTTTGTTTTATATTTGAACTCTGAAGCTTTTCTGAACTTTTCTAGGGAAAAAGAGGAGCAGCTAACTCGTGTGACTGAAGTTCAGAGGTTGCAGGCCCAGCAGGCAGACGCTGCCCTGGAAGAGTTTAAGCGGCAGGTGGAACTGAACTCAGAGAAAGTCTATGCTGAAATGAAAGAGCAGGTAAGAAGGCCTCCAGGCCGTCTACTCTCAGTGGAAGGTGCTTTCTGATCTTAAGTGTAACAGAAATGTACTTCACTTTGAATAAAGCTTTCTCTGAATTAATCACACAATTTGCTCAAATATCCAGAATGAGGAAAGCATAGTCCCCTTGTTTCTCCTGCAAGCAATGCCAGGACAGTCATTTTAAAGCGTTGTCTACAAATGCAGCAATGGCAGGGGCATGGCTGGGTTGGGGGGATGGATCTGCCTACAAATAAAATTCCATTGGCAATCAGTTTCCATAGCGTAAGGGCTCACGTTAACCATATCTGTGCTTGTTAAAATTCTACAGGTACTGTTGTGTATGGATCAGTTACAGCACATTGTTCTTGGTCGTAGTTCAGGAGGACAAGGGCTATCTCTATTCTTATATAAGATAAGTGGGATTTTTGTTTTTTTAGTTTTGAGATAAAAAAAAATTGCAAATGAATAAAGAAAGTCATTACAAACACCTACATGAAGAAGACTCACCAATTGTTAATACTCTGTATTTTAAGTAAAACGTTACAGGTGAAGTTGGTGTTTGCTTTGCTGTTCACGTCTAGTCCCTGTACGCTTTTCTGTTTACCCCTAAGAAAACCACTGCTGTTAACTTAGTGTGTATGTTCGTTCTGTTTTGTGCTTTATGTGGGCTTCTGTGTCTGTCTCTGGTCCAGGTGTGCGGTGCACCTGCACAGAGTTACATGCAGCTTTGTATTTGAGCACCTAGGTCAGGTTCTGAAAGAAAGGGAGCACATGCAGTAGTTAGAGAATTATCATGGTTTTCAATTTTTCTGGAGTTTAACAGTCTTCCTTTTCTGTTGTTTAGAGCTGCTCTTTTCTCATCTCATAGAAGAAATCTTTAGTGTAAAAGAAGCCAAGTTGTAGGGCATCATTTTTCCATTGGAAGCTGCTGCAGGTAGCAGACAATGGATTTTGAAGTTAAAAAAAAAGAAAGCTTTGAGTTCTTGAAAGTGGATTGCTCTTTCAAAAATGAGGCCCACAGGAGAAAATGGAGCAGCCTACAACTTTTAAAAAAAAGTGCTTCATGCTATTTGTTTGACTTTGAAGCACTTTTAAAAATCTCGTTTGTTATTATTTGCTGTCAAGTCGGACTTGACTCATAGCAACCCCTCCTTGGGTTTCCAAGGCAGTATCACTATGGAAGTAGATTGCGCAGCCTTCCTTCTGAGGAGTGGCTCATTTACAGTTGCTGAAATAACATATAGACTTAGGGTCCATTGTTAGTGTTAGCTGTCCATGATTAGTTGTGTAAAATATGTATATTGTAATGAAAATACAGTACTTTGTTAGTGTTATTTCTACATTATAGAGAGTAATTTGTAAATTAACAGTCTCCCATATTTGCCTATTGCCTGTGAAGCAAATATACAACTGAAAAAGACAACTTTGAGCCCTGAAGTAGGGGTAGTAGTTCTGAAATGAAACTTTAATCTTGTAACTTGACTGCATGGATTTCATCTAACTAGTTCTTTCTGAGGCTTCTACTAGGTTCTTGACTTTTCTAGTTTATTTTTCTCCTCTTGAAAATATATCCTTGTTAAATAATACCAAAACCCAAACCCTCTGCCATTGAGTCGATTCTGACTCATAGCAACCCTGCAGGACAGAGTCAAGACTGTGCCATAGGGTTTCCAAGGTTGTAAATCTTTACAGAAGGAGACTGTGCTTCATCTTTCTTCTGTGGAAGGGCTGGTGGGTTCTTAGCACCAGTGTTACAGTTCGCAGCTGAATGCTTTAACCACTGTGCCACTAGAGCTCCTTTCATTAAATGATCATTGCTGCCAAACAGTATCCGCTAGCTTTGAAAGCTATTCCTTTTTCTCTACAACAATCAGCTATGTGATGCTAACTTTATGCCTGGAAAAGTCCTTGGTTTACCATGAAAACCAAATTCTGAAAATCACTGCTGTTGACCGCTGGGGTTGATCCTGGGTGTTTATAAAAACTTAGTTCATCTTCCTATTACTACTGTTGAATTAATGAAAAAAATTCTCAAGTTACAAGGAAAGAAGAATGTCATCTGGATGCATTTGTGTCATTATGTGTAGATGGATAACAAACAGATGTAAAGAAAAAAGAATCATCCTACAAACCATTGATTGTAATGTATACCTTTGTCCTTGAAGGTTCCTTTAAAGTCTTTTCAGAATTGAATTGTGAGCTTGTGGGAGTATATGACTGGGGAGAGGTCTCATCTCATCTGCTACTCAAAAAAAGCTAGGTTGATATAAAGGCTAGGAGGTGTCACCTAAGTGAAGGCAGTGGGGGAGTCTAGCGACCCCTCCTTGGGTTTCTGAGGTGGTATCTCTATGGAAGTAGATTGCCAAATCTTCCTTCCAAGAAATGGCTAGTAGGTTTGAATTGCCAGCCTTCTGGTAAGCAGTCAAATGCCTTAGGCACTATGTCAGCAGAGCTCCCCTATATAATGTAAGGTGCCAGGAAGAGATGTTGGGGGTAATTTCCAACAAAACAGCTTTTCAAAACCCAGGATAAGAAAGCAAGAGCACAGCATGTTTGGGGAACGTACAGAAGTTGCTGTGACTGGGGCACACGTTGGAAGGGGAGGAGGGCCACATAGGAAGGACCTCCAAATGCAGTTCTGTAATCCACCAGATTGCCTTCCCACCTAGTCATAGCCTGATTTTTTGACAAGGCATTTGATGTTCAGACATGTTAAGTATCTTGTGTAAGTCCCAACATTTGAGCAACTTGAGATTTAAACCTATTGACTCCATCTCCAAAGTACATTCCTTCTTATTTTTTGGAAAATATTCATTTTAGTATGAAACTTGCCATTTCACCCATAATGTTGTGCAGTCATCTGCACTATCTACTACAAAACCATTCTTCACCCCAAGCACAAGTTCTATACCCATGAAGCAATGACTCTTCATTACTCCCTCCCCTCCCGTGCCCAGGTCAATGGTAACTTCTAGTCTCCTTTCTGTCTCTGTGAATTTGCTTCTTACCATGACATGGGTCAGGCTCATCGTAGTCTTTAAAGTGACATCTTTACTCTTTAGCACTTTAAGGAGGTCTTTTGCAGCATATTTGCCCAATGCAATACATCGTTTGATTTCTTGACTGCTCCTTCCGTGGGCTTTGATTGTAGCTCTAAATAAAAGGAAATTCTTGACAGCTTCAGTCTTTTGTCCCTATATCATGATGCTGTTTATTAGTCCATTGGTGAAGATTTCTGTTTTCTTTATGTTGAGGTGTAATCCATACTGAAGACTGTAATCTTTGATTTTCATTAGTAAGTGCTTCAAGTCCTCTTCACTTTCAGTAAGAAAGATTGTGTCATCTGCATATCACGGGCTGTTAATGAGTCTTCTTCCAATTCTAAACTCACGGTCTTCCTATAGGCCACAGCTTCTTTGATTATTTGCTCAGCAGACAGATTGAGTAAGTGTTGTGAAAGGATATACCCTGATGCACATCTTTCCTGATTTTAAACTGCTTTATCCCCTTAATTCTGTTTGAATGACTGCCTCTTCTTGGCCTACGTACAGGTTCCACACTAGCAAAATTAATGATTCTGAAATTCCTGTTCTTCACAATGTTATCCATAATTTGTTATGATCCATACAGTCAAATGGCTTTGTGTAATGAATAAAACACAGATAAACATCTTTCTGGTATTCTCTGCTTTCACCAAATACCCATCTGACATTAGCAGTGATACTCCTCTTTCTACATCCTCTTCTGAGCCCAGCTTGAATTTTTAGCAGTTCCCTGTCTTATTTACTACTGGGACTGTTTTTGAGTTATCTTCAGTAAAATTTTACTTGCATGTGATATTAAAGATACTGTTCCATAATTTCTGCACTCTTTTGGGTCATCTTTCTTTGGAGTGGGCCCAAATATGGGTCTATTCCTGTTAGTTGGCCAGGTAGCTGTCTTCCAGATTTCTTGGGATAAACAAGTGAGTGCTTTCAGCATTGAGTCCATTTGTTTAAATATCTCAAATGGTATTCTGTCAATTCCTATTGCCTGTTTTTCAAGAGTGCCTTCAGTGTAGTTTGGACTTCTTCCTTCATGCCATCGGTTCTTTATCATATTTTACTTCCTGAGATGGTTGAATGTTGACCAGTTTCTGTGTGTTCCTTCTATCTTGTTTTGAAGCTTCCTGTGTCATTCAGTATTTTGACCTTAGAATCAGTCCTTGTTGTCGCAGCTTGAGGGTTGAATTTCAGTTCTTTCTGCTTGAGAAATGCTGATCGTGTTCACCCCTTTTTGATTTTCTCACTCCAGGTCTTTGCATATTTCATAATAATACGTTACTTTGTCTTCTAAAGCTGCCCTTTGAAATCTTCTGTTCAGTTCTTTTATATCATCACATCTTCCATTTGCTTTAGCTACTCTCTGTTCGAGAGCAGGTTTCAAAGTCTCTTTTGACATCCATTTTGGTCTTTTCTTTCTTTCCTGTCTTTTTAATGACCTTTTGCTTTTCATGTATGATGTCCTTGATGTCTTTCCACAACATGTCTGATCTTTGTTCATTAGTGTTTAATTTATCAAATCTGTTCTTCAGATGGTCTCTAAACATATTGCTAGTGAATAGAATTACAGCTGATTTTTGCGTGTTGATTTTTATCTTGAAACTTTGCTGACTTCATTTATTAGCTCTAACAGTTTTTTAGATCCAGTTTTAAAACTACAGTCTCTCACTTTGCAGATGGTCCTAGATATTTAGCATAGTTCTTTCTTCCCAGTGAAATGCAAGCAGCATAATTGATTTGCTATTGGCTGTAACTTTCAGGAAAGCTCTTTAGAAGGGAGTTTACCTCAACGAATATGTACCCTTTGACCTTTCCTTTTTACCCTTCACCTTTTTCCCCATTCCAGATGTTCAGAGCTACAGAAGCCATTTTGCACCCATTAGGGAAAGGTTGAATTGCAAAGATCTTAACCCTAAAATTTTTGAGCTGCTAATGTTGCAGCCTCCTTCTGGAGTTTTTTTTTTTGTTACAGGAGGTCAAAAAATGAGGACTGGCACGTCATTTAAGTTATGAATACTTGCGTTTTCTCTCACATGGAGCTAAAGGGAATACCCAAGGCACCAGATGAGGAAAATCCAGCACCCTTCTTTGCCTCTTTTCTTGTTTCTTTCAATATAAATAGTCATATAAATACACTTAGGCTCTTTTGTGTTCCTGATTAGGCCATGAAACTTACTCTGAGGTTCCTTCAAAGCCCAAGTTACACAAGAAAGATTTTTTTTTCTCTTAAGACTTGAAGTTGACTAGAATATGGAATGATCTATGATGAAGTAGAATCTTTTGTATCTATGGCAACCAAGAACCTTGTGTTTTTCTATAACCTTTTCCTATTTTCCATTACTTGTTTTTAAAATATCTGTTAAATTGTGGAAGAAGAATGGAATGGGGTCTGGCATTTTCGGTCAGTATAATTTTAAATAACGTGTATTTCATTTTCTTGTAGTATCAACTACTGTTTGCTATGAATTTTTCTTAATCTGTAGGTATATAAAGTTTTCTCATGTGCTTTAAGTTGTTACTGGTTTTCCATTTTTATTATGGAAATCACTTTGACCTAAAAACCAACTTTGAGTATATACAGCTCTTAATTTTATTTAATATTAATATCAATTAATATTTTATTATGTAACTTTTAATGTTTTAATATTTAATCTTTATTTTTAATATTTCATCCTATGCTGAAGAAAAATGAGACCCAAAAATCAACTTTATGTGAAGATTTGTCTTAAAATACTGAAGAAACCACGTCCTCCTTTCTTGACTTACTTTTCCTCTTGACTTCCCTTTTTTCTTTCTCCTCCTTTTCGGTTCATCTTGTAAGAATTTAATACATATTTATTCTCCACATCATGTCATTTAGTAAATAAAGGTACAAAAGAAAGAATTATCAATTATGGTTCCTTTTATTTGGGAGCTTGTGATCTGGATGAATAAACAAAGCTCAGGCATTGGGAAAACTTCTGTACTGTAGGAAACAGCACAAGGTGCTAGGTAAAATAAAGCTGTTAGTCCTGAAGGCTGGAGAGAAAATATAGAGAGGATAGGGAGACATATATGTATGTCATTTGTGGAAGTAAAGATACTTCAGGGAGGAAGAGAAGCTTGACTCAACCTTGAACATTTGACTGGAAGAGGGAAGAAAAATCAATCAGTCAATCAAGGGGCTTTCCTGGTGGTTTGAGGTGCTAAAGTTATAACAGAGTCAAGATTAGCCATGACTTATTTGGGAAATGCAAAGGTGAGTGGAGTGTAACAAGACATGGTTAGGTCATTAAGGACCAATTAAGGAATCTTCTGCTTGAGGTCTAATGTGAAAAGTATTAAAGAGGAGAGAATTTTGGAACTCTTGAATGTAGCTGACACTTTACAATGAAAATTTCCCTACAGTGGTGGCAATGCAAAGAGAGACAGATTTGAGAGACATTTCAAAGAATTGGTCTGACATAATAATTGACTTGGTATTGACTGTAGAAAAAGATTGCAAATGCATGAAGGTTGCAAGTCCAGGTACCTAGGATGATAGTGGAGCCATTATCAACCACAAAAAGTGAGAGAAAGGAGACAAAGCAAATGAAGTGGGGTGAGGCAGAACAAAGCTATTACTGTAGGTAAGGATGGAGTTTTCCCCAAATGGTTGGAAGTTGAAGACTGGAGAGAAGGATGAAGATAATGGAGTGGATGCGGGGGTGGTGTGGTGTGTGCTGAGATGGAAGAAGAGGAAGTCCATGACCACAGGAAAGATGGGAGCTTTCCACCAGGGACTGGAAGTTGAAGACTGGCACTTGAGTAAGAGGTTATGGCTAGATTGAGATTTGAGAGTCACCAGCAGTATTCTTGTGTCTTCAAGAGCATCATGGGAACTTTTTATGTAGTCACCTGATTTTGTTAATTTTAGGATAGGTACTAAATGACATCATATTTGATTTTTTGAGACTTGACTTCTCTTCATTAAATTCCTTTTGGCTTACTATTTTAAAATCCCTGTCTAATTTCTTATCCTAAGGGCTAAGTGGAGGAACACACCTACCTTTTTAAAAAGAAAAATAAATGTTTTCACTTGAAGCCTAAATCTTGAGTTAGAAACAAAATGAAGTAGGCTTCACTGTACTTCCCTTAATAATTCTTTAGTAGATTTGTTCTTGGCAGCAATACTGCTTATCTGTGGATCAGTAATCTTAGAATTTGAATTTGGAAGCTGATGACTTACAATTTTCAGGATTTCCATTCTTGATATTTACAAAGAAATACTTGGGTACTAAATATATGCCATAATCTAGATTCTTCAGATGTCAGTGTGAGAGCTGGAAACTGAAAGGCCTTCTTAGACAGCAGCAGTGGGTGGGAATATCCATTTTATTCTTATTCAGTGAAACTAGCAGCTTTTTCACTGAATGTCTTTGCTCTCAGAATCTTAAAGTTTAATCATATTTGAATAAATGCTTTTGAATTTTTGGTTCAAACTTAACATGAAACTGTGAAAGAAGAATTTTTCATGGTTCAGTTCTCCAAATATTCATGTTTTAACTTGTCTTAGACTTACCAAAATGTGACCTGAAAGAGGGCATTGTGTCCAAGTTGAAAAGAAGAAATAGCTCAGCATCTCAGTGAAACAGAATAATAACTAATATAAAGTATCCAGTGATAGAACTCTTGTCACATTACCTGACAATTGCATCAGAAAAAAATATTTTCCTATATTACAGTTAAATGTACAGTCAGTGGGTAGAAAGACAAATGAAATACTGTACTACATTGAATCAGCAATGCCATTTTCATGGTATTAATATGAACAGCTTTTTCAAATACTGTATATAAGCACATCTCTTTTCTGTCACATATAAAAGAGCATCTGGTGAAAGCAAGGACACTTGATCATCTAATTTTCTGGGTGGTAAAACGATCCAACTCTGTTTTATTTATTCCACAATTCCATAGATAATTATTTATTTTGTGTGGGTTATGAGGAAAATGGCACTATTATATGTCAGAAGTTCACTCAGCAAATCTTGAACACATGGGTACATGCTGGATTTTTTTTTTTTTTTTTTTTTACCATTTGATAAGTATTTATTATGCCATGCACTAAGCTAAATACTTGGGATACATCAGTGAACATGGGATTACATTCCAGAGGAAGGAGATACATTAAATAACAGTCCTAATCTACCAGATTTTGTTTATATGACCATCCGTTGATGGACATTTGATTTGTTTCCTTTTTTGTCTGTGAGGAATAATGCTGCTATGATCTTTTTTGTATGCAAGGTTTTCCTGGACATAGTTTTTTCACTTTTCTTAGATATATGTCTAGGAGTGAAATTTCTGGATCATATGGTGGTAGCTCTATGTTTAACTTTTTTGAAAAGTTTTTTTTTGCCAAATTCCTCCCCAAAGTTGGCTAAATTTAGCTGGTAGCTAAATTCCCACCAGGAATGTATGGGAGTCCAGTTTTCTTCACATTGTCATCAACACTTGTTATTATTTGTCTTTTTGAGTATGTATAGTCATCCCAGTGGGTATGAAATGGTATCTCACTGTGAATTTGATTTACATTTCCCTAATGACTGAAGATAATAAGTATCTTCTGCTATGCTTATTGGCCATTTCTGTATTTTCTGTACAGAAATGTATAAAGCAGCCTCTGGGTGATGAGCACCTGACTGATGGACAGCTCCTACTTGCCCTTTAAAATGGTTTGTCACGACCAGTGAAGTGAAGGAACAGACCCAGAGTTTTACAGTTTGGCATGGTACCCAGAACAGGAGAAATTATGGGTCGAAGTCTTGGAATGGGAGATTCAGAAGAGGCATAGTGAGCCTTTTCAAGAGCCTGATGCACGAGATTGGATTGTCGGCAGGACGGTGGAGAGTGACACTCATTCAAAGCTGTGTGGTCGGCTGCCATCTTTGAATGGGGCACCTCTGCCCTTGAGCAGGGCAATCAGTACAACTTTGGACTGTGTTCAGAATCTGAGAGCAAAAGCTTTGATTTCTGTGCAACTTGCATGCTTCCCTTCTTCTGTAAGAGGGAGATTAAGTTTCTATCAAGGCTTTAGCCTGTAATTTTTCCCATTCCAGCTGTCTTTCTGATTCACTGTAACTTTGAAAATTCAGATCTGTTTGGTGATGCTTCCTCGGCCATGACTGAATGGGGCACAATCACTTGGAACCCCTGACAAATTCTTAAAGACATGGTTAGGAATGGATCTCATGTGTAACCTGGGAACAGCCTCTATTCAAAAGTCCTTAGCCTGTTTTATTTCTTTCTTTATTTTTTTGGCAATTGGGTTTAATTGTCCATTTATTATTGATTTGTAAGGGTTCTTCATATATGCTAGGTACAAGTCTCTTACATATCATTTGCAAACATTTTCTCCCATTTAACACATTGCTTGTATATATCCAGAGCTTGATAAAATCTTGTTGAATAGTTGAATGTCCAAAATTATGTTTCCACTACCTTATAGTTATGACATTAGAATTTATTCAGTTGTATGTCAGTTTTCATTTCCCTGCCTTAAACTATTAAATATATATTCAAATAAATACATTTTCATTATTTTATCATCTTTAAATTCACCATTTTGATTAGTGAAATGCTTAAAATCTGTGATTCTGATAAGACAGACTACAAACACTTGAAATACGGTATTTTTGTTTTAAAAATTTAATTTTTGTTTTTCTGATTTTGCAGATGGAAAAAGTGGAAGCCGATCTAAGTAGATCCAAGTCTCTTCGTGAAAAACAATCAAAAGACTTTTTATGGCAGTTAGAAGATGTCAAAAAGAGATATGAACAGCAGGTTGGTCTTTCATTTTGATACCATTTTTTTAAAATACTCGAATAATCACTTTTAAAAATCTATTTTATTAAATTTTTGCATGAGGAAATTTTAAGAACTCTTATTATAAATGTATTTGAAATATTTTAAATGTTGTTGATTTAAGTCACATCCAGGAACAGAGAATTTTAACTGTCCAGTGAAGTCTTCTTCAGCAGTTTGTTAATCCAAATGCTTAATGGAAATGTTAATTGTGGATCTTGAGTTCTTCTGTTCCTGTCCAAGCACTACTTTGATTTATTCATTTCTTCGATAAATAGTTTTGCGAACCTACTGTGTGCCAAGCACTCTTTTCTACATTGGGATAAGCAGGAAGCAGGACAAAAAAGGCTCCTTTTCTCTGACATTTCAATGGCCAGCCAGACCCCAATTGAGAAATGAAATGATTTCAGAGTGATTTATGAAGAAGGAAAGAAGGCACGTCATAGTACATAGTGTTTGCAAGATAGAGAGTGGGAAGGGAATTAATTACCAGCCTCAAGTGGTCAGGGAAGCCCTCTGAGCAGGGAGCATTTCTGCCTGTAGGCCTAGAAAATCAGAAGAAGTCAGCTGTGAAATCTCTGCAGAGATAGTGCTCCAGGCTGAGGGAACAGCAAATTCAAAGAGTCTGAGATAGGAAAAATTGGGGAATGTGTCAGAACAAAAATCGGAGTCAGGGGGAAGATCACAGTTGTAGGAGATGAGGGGAAATTAGTAGCCTGGATTTACAGGACCTCACAGAGTTTAGTTTTTCATCTGTCTTTTATTTACTAATTGAAAAAGGTCTTCTTTTTTAAAAAAAACATATCTGTGTTTGTTCTCAGAGTTTTAAGGTGGCAGTTACACACTTTGTTTGTCTGATTTGCCTGCTTTGTTTTGTTAACGTTGGAGTAACCTTAATTAGCTTAGTCACTCAGGTTAAGAAATTTTTTTCTAAAGGCAATATTTGAAACTTATTAATATGAAAACTTGAATAATTTTTTCATTATTATATTCTTAATCCTCTGTTCATAAGTGCTACATGAACTTTTCTCTCCTAAATGAGAGCAATTAGGACTTTACTTGAGTTCAGAGTAAAGGAAGCCTGATATATGTCTTAGGGTTGTTGCTTTAATCTTAAAACGTTGGTATGGGCACAGCAGTTCTAGAGACAAAGGTGTGTGAATTGGCTTTTCTTTGTTATTTTCATGGTCTAGGTCACCCTGCTCCACTTTTTCTAAGCGAATCATGGCCATTCTTCAAGACTAACCTGTGTTCATTCTTCTCTCCAGTGTTTCTCTGTACTTAAAGTATTTGTCATTGTATTATTTTGTGCCCTTAATTCTTGTATTATATTTTGTCACATGGGGCAGTTGTTTTTATCCAGAAAGCATATAATCTAAAGAGGGTAGAAATTTTCTCCCATATTTCTTTTATTCTCTAGTACATTATTTTCTAGTTTGAATTCATAATAGAAACAAAATTTATTGTTGTTGAATGATTTGAGTTTTGATCAATATCTGTCTTCTTTCTGTATATTCAAAACCGAAACCAAACTCACTGCCGTGGAGTCGGATCTAACTATAGTAACCCCTCCTTGGGTTTTTGAGATGGTATCACCATGGAAGTAGATTGCCCAACCTTCCTTTCGAGGAGTGGCTGGTGGGTTTGAACCACCCACCTTCGAGTTAGCAGTCAAATACTTTAGGCAGTACTCCACCAGAGCTAGTAGGTAGGTATTTCAGTGTACTTAATGTAACATTTAGTACAGCCCCCACCTCAAGAGGCAGGAAGCAAGGGAAAAGCCTTATTCATTGTCCAGCTCTCTCATGCATACAAGGCGATTGGAAATATCATGGCTTGTGTCAGGCGTACCTTAGTCCCCAAGGAGACATCCTTGCTCCTCAGCACTTGAAATAGTTCCTTTGCAGTTGACTTTCCCAATGCTACACGTCGTCTAATGTCCTGACTGCTGCTTCCATTGGCATCGATTGTAGAACCAAGCAACGTGAATTCTTTGACAACCTCAGTCTTCTCTCCATTTATTGTGATGCTGCTCATTGGTCCGGTTGTGAGGATTTTTGTTTTCTTTATATTGAGACATAATCCATATTGCATACTGTATTCTTCATTCTTCATCAGTAAGTAGCTCAAGTCATCCTCACTTTCAGCAAGCAAAGTTGTATCATCTGCGTATCTCAGGTTGTTAATGATTCTTCCTCCAATCCTGATACCACGTTTTTCTTCATATAGTCCAGCTTCTCGGATTATTTGCTCAGCATATAGATTGAATAAGTATGGGGAAAGGATACAACCCTGACGCACTCCCTTCCTGATTTTAAACCATGTAGTGTCCCCTTGTTCTGTTGGAACGACAGCCTTCTGGTCAAGGTACAGGGGCATCCGTTTGTTGAAATATCTCAATGGGTATTCCGTCAGTTCCCAGAGCCTTGTTCTTCACCAGTTCTTTCATTGCAGCTTTGACTTCCTCCTTCAGTACCATTGGTTCTAGATCATGTGCCACTTCCTGAAATGCATGCAGATTGACCAGTTCGTTTTGGTACAGTGATTCTGTGTATTCCTGCCATCTTCTCTTGATGTTTCCTGCATCATTCAATATTTTGTCCTTAGAATCTCTCAGTATTGCAACTCAAGGTTTAAATTTTTTCTTCAATTCTTTCAGCTTGAGAAATGCAGAGCATGTTCTTTCCTTTTGGTTTTTAAACTCCAGGTCTTTGCACATTTCATTATAGTAATTGGTTTTGTCTGCTATGCTAGTTCCCTGAAAAACTAGTGCACATGGTAGTTCCCTGAAAAACTAGGTACAGCAGTTTGAAATGGGGATTCTGGTCCTCTGAACAGCTGACTAAGTCAGAGTATGCTAAACTCAGGGGAGTGGGATTAGAAAGGAGAAAGGGGAAGTGCAGTTACCTGGAGGGAAAAAAATAACAAAAACAGGTGAACTTGCCTTGTGGAGTGCCGACTGGCAGGTGAGAAAGGGCATCGGAGACCTCCCTGGGGCAGTGGAGAGAACACACCACTCCAGAGAACCTGTGGCCACTCCACGGATCTACCTTTAGCATCTGCTTTTATCGCTAAACTTGGGACCACTGGGAGGGAGCAGAGAGAACATTAACACCATAAGTGGGCAGGCCCTGGGATGAACTGCCATCATGGATCAGGGCAGTTATGTTAGTTCAGCTTTTTGGCATGGAAGAGCCTGGAGAGCAGAGTTTTTGCAGCTTTCTGAACCTGGCAGAATGTGGTGGCCCCTTAACACTTGGAGTCTTTGCTGAACTTGAGTTACAGGCCTGCAAGTAACAGTATAATGTCATCATTAGCAGCCCGCTCAAAGCCCTAGAAACCACTCCTGGCACCTTAGAGCTTTCTCTCTCGCTCTCTTTTCTTCCCCTCTTCTCTGCCTCTACCCTGCTTCATCCAATAGAAAAACCATATTCAGCCACCATAATACCTGCCAGCTCGAATCCTAAACTCTCTTTATAACAGAGACCTGTATCCATATTCCACACAGAGATTCCATCATTACACAGAAAACTGCAGCACAACCCAGCACACCTGAATTAATAGCCAAATAAATAGATAGATAGATCATTACACCAGCTCTGCCTTTTCAAATATTAAATCATAAAAGCAAGACAAAACGAATCAATACATAACTAACAGTTAAAGACAACTTCAAAATGTCTAGGAAACAACAGTCAATCTGAAATCAAACAAAAAAACAAGACAAGACATTAGAAGTAAAATCCCAAACGAAAGTCTCATTAAACATGGAGGAAGAGGAGACAATAGAATTATCCAAGAAGGAATTTAGAAGGTATGTTTATAGAATTCTACAAGAACTTAAGGAAACCTCAACCAGAAGCAAGGAGAACACAGACCCTGGAAGAACTCAGGAAAACCATTCAAAAACAAAATAACAAGATTAATGCACAATCAGAATTCATACAAAAACAGCAGTTAGAAATCCAGAAGATGAATACCAAAATTACAGAATTGCACAATATAGTGGAAGCACGAAAGAGTAGCACAGAACTGGCTGAAGAACACATTTCCCAACTAGAAGACAAATCCCTGGACCCCAGCCTGTATGAAGAAAAATCAGAACAAAGATTTAAGAGAAATGAAGAGAACCTAAGAGTTATGTGGGATGACATGAAAAGAAACAACATATGACTCATTGGAATTCCAGAACAAGAAGAGGAGGA